GGTTGACACGCATGGTGCGACGCGTGGGACTGCGTGCTCAACCTGGAGAGCACGCTCTTTTCAGAGTTATATTTCTGTGAAGCAGTCATAATTAGCAAACTTCTATGTAAGTAATGCTATGCTAAATATTCAAGCTTTCTATGCATGCACTGTGCAGAGCAGATCTTCATTCAAACTTTTTTTAATATGTGGTTGAAAAATACACTAGACAGAACGATACATATGAAAAAGAAACTACAGTAAGTATTCAGTGATTGGACGACAAACATTTGGAAACACCTACCTTTGACGACCACAAAAGAGAAAAAGATCGGGTTAAGATTTGCGCAAATTCGGGGGAGTATGCGGCGAAGGAAAAATTCCTACCACGTCGCGGACCACTTGCTGAAGCGGTTGAGCACGCGTCCCACCTGTGCAAAAGCGCGTGTGTCCCATGTGACACATCATGCCAAAAGCGTAAGGTCGCGCTGGTGTTAATAGCTATTTTTGGTGAGTTCACGCGGAACAGTAACTCATCGAAACAGTGAATCCATAGTAATGAAATAATCCAATTGATTTTCCAGGATGTGTTTGAATTCTACCCAAGATGTGAACCAATTTCCGTGGAAATAATGGGTGACGCAATCACAACTGTGAAATTCGAGCTGCGAATTCTGAATAAAGTATTTTGTTACAATAATACATATCGCCCCCCGAGGTTTAATGATTAGGTGTTCTTCAGCTGATTGAGCCACTCCCGACGTTTGAAAACGGCGACTTAACCATTCGTTTCGACGACGGCTCTTCTATAAAAGTCTTCAGACATTTGTTGGCTTTATATTCCCCATATATTAGTACGTTAACCGTCTCCTAGTTCTTTTTGAAGATAACATTTGAAGAAACAATAGTAATCGACTGATTAGCTAAACATTCCTTATGCCGATAAACGCCCGCAAATGACGTCTATGCTTTATTCCCAACATCTTTCCAATTTGCAGAGAAATGCACGGAAAATTCAACGGTGACATATGTGGAAGATTTTCCAAGAGATGCTTTTGTTGAGCTCCTGTACCACGTACGTAGTTTTGCACGAATTTTCAGTGTAAAAATAACAGCAATAAAAAGTTGTAACTATAGATTTACCCCACCTTACGCCCTATCTACTCTAATATACGTGATTTTGCCAAAGCAGCAATAGCGTTTCAAGCCACACCGCTGATTTATTTGCTGTCGAAACATCTGGTGGAATTCAACACCAGAGCTGTGAGTCGACAGGGATAGATGCTTCATTTTCCTTTTATTTTTGTGGTATTTGCCTTTACTTGGTGAAAATAATGTTCAGATGTCGCTGGAGCAGAAGCTTCGTGCAGCGCTTGACTTTGAACTGTGTCCCGCTATTGAAGAACTGGTTTATAGGTGCATACTTCTAACCAGATTGACATATTTATACAGGGTGGTCCAAAATTACGGAGACACACTGAAACTTTCATATCTAATGTTAGAAAGCAAATAGGTAATTCTGTTCCTAATATGGTATTTTTCACCAAGCATTGAACAGAAACTACCATCACATCTCACGTACCCTGCTACCACCGGCAAGAAAAGATGTGAAGAATTCGAACTAGGCACCAGCTGGGGCGCGGTAGTGCCTTCTCCTTAAATAAACCCACGCTTCTAGAAGCGTTTGCTTTGTTAATTAAACAACTTTATGGGAGTAAAATCTGTTCTTGTTCGTGAATGAGTATGATAACCAGAGATCTGCACGAATGAATGCTGAAAATAGGATTTATGAGGAAGCGGTCATGATTTCCTAGGCAAAAACATGCAAAAACGTCTGTTAGGGCTGTTTCCCGTTCTTTTTTTCAATGTTTGGGTAGGGGAATCGAACTTTTTAGGCTTGCAAACTCACATTCTTGATGTCCTGAGGGATGTTTCCACCACTGTGCAATTGATGTTGTTGATTCGTTTTGATGAATACGCCCAAACCGTTCCGAATTTCGGCGTATCCTCACCAAATCTCGGCTCTCATTACCATGGCAGATGGTCTATCGCAACCACTTTAGGGTTTTTCTAATCTCCACACCTTGTACTCTTCGATATATTGGTAATTGACCCTTCTGCATAATCCTACACGTTGGTTTAACACGTGCGCCTAGACTACACGAAAGATGTAACTGGGTGATAGAATAAAGTTTGACTGTTGCCCTAGCCGTCCCTGAAATTGATGGTGTTAGGTGTTGTTTTGGAAGAAGCTGTACAATTGATCAGCTGAACACTAAAAGACTGGATGCAAGATGCCAGAACTCGAGATAGGTCGAAAAACGCGCATCGCGCCCTTGTCTCCGTAATTTTGGACCACCCTGTAGACATAATAAAACCCAAATATGAGAATGTTCCTTGCATCTAGAGCGGCTCAGGACGGTGTGTGGAGTCACCTGATTAAGCTTGGATTTGAGCCGGAAACATTCTTCGGTCCAGAAGTTTATAAAAAAGTAGTCTGTCCAGCAATTGTAGCGGTTGGTATTTGTTTCGTATAGTTCGAAGTTTTCTTCTATTGCTATCAAATTCAGAGGATCAGTGTTCGTTACATAGGATTACCATATTCTAGGGTCGTCAAAATGAATATGGAACGCCGCTAATTCCATCACCCTATCAGCAACCAGACTTCTTCAGTGAGGAGGTATACAAAACTTTAATATAAGTCAGATTTCTCTTGAGAGTTATTTCCTTCGTATGCGAAGCTCGCTGAAGTCAGAATAACTCTGTTTTTGTTCTTTTGCGAACATAGCCACATAATTGCGAAGCAGTTTACGCGCCAACTCTGATAAATCCTAGCACAACAAACCGATACCGAGTTGATAATAACCGGTAAGAAGTACCGTAAGCCCTCCGCCGAATTCGGAAGATGCACCTTGTTTCCGAGCTCCTTACTTCGTCATCTTTCTAAAGAATCCTTTTCATCTTTTGACTTTGGAGCCACTCGCCTCGCCAACATTTGAAAAAAAGTGTTATAATCCTTGTGCTACAGTAGACTGCATGCTAAGCTTCGCTCGGGTGTTTTACTACCCTGGCTTTCTCACATTGAAAAGGGAATTTGCTACCGATAAAAGAAATCCACTGAAGATCCTCGTTCTTCTGGACTATGACGGACCGGAATGGCTTTTTTTGACCGACCTGTTAGTGAAAAATGAAATAGTAAAGCTATTTGGATAATAACTTTATGGAAAATGCGTGCCATATTTGCGCTCAGCTTCTTCGAAAACCCCAGTAAATGCGCTTTTACTCGTCCCTGAAAAGAAGCGAAAAAAGCCAAAAATTCGATTAAAAATTCGATGAAATCAATAACTCGATGTTCTCATGCATAGTGGTTGTCACATTTGAGTTCAGCGCATTTGAAAGCCCAGTGGAGATATCCTGAAAGACTCATGAGCAAAGGCTGTGAAAAATCGATGAAATCGATAAATCGACACCGTCATTGTAAATAATTTTCATATTCGTGTTCGTCTTATTGAAGGACCCGAGTGGATCCTAGATCTCCTCATCGACTCTCCTATGAAAATTGTGAAAAATCGATAAAATCGATGCAATCGATAAGCTAATCGATAGTCTCGAATATAACGTAGCTTATAATGGCTGCCGGTCTCTGAGGCCAATTTCTATCCGGAGCATACATACAAGCACACAAACACACATAAAAACAGCTTCTGAAGGAATCATTTTCAGTCTGCAAATGACAAAAACAATGTCAGCCTCTTGTTCCGGAGCACACCATTCTACGTCAATCGAGGCATTCTTGACGTTCATGGCACAAGCAAGTTCACAGTGAATAAAGATGGTAAGTCCTCGGAACAAAGCTGCGCTTATCGGTCTTTAATCTGTAAGAACTGTAGGATCTCTACTAGCTCTGTTTACACGTGAAATGGAGGAGCAGTGCGCGAAAAGTGTCATCCTGCCGGGCGAGGTGAGAAGTAGGGCTTTTGTAGTTTGATCAGTGTTTTTTTTGTAACTTTAAAGCCACTGCTTTTTTTTACCCAAAATCTTCATCTCTTAACCTACTACAAAGATGTGTAGATAACCAACCACCCACTCAATGAATTTACTGATTGAGTTTGCAAACGCTGCGTTCCCCTCCAAAAGGTAATAATCTTATTTCACACTGCTCATCTAGGTACTGGTGTCACTCTTCTGTTCACTTTATCCGCTTGGTCCTGCAGTTCCAATAAAATTCCTGAGAGCGGCGATTGTGTTCTGTCATGATCACGACTGGCACCACACTAAGAGCAAACTGGAGCAGGTTTCCTATTTCGACAGAATTTTTTTCAGTAACTACTAACCTTCAGAGTAAGAGTAAAAGGATTTTTTTGTAGGATCTCATGCAAGAACCTCCAGATTCCACTGACACATATCGCGATCAAATTATTTTTGCCGAGTCCTTCAACCTTCAGAATATGTTAACAGTATGTATACAAAGAGCAGAAGGAAGGTGAGTCATCAGACCTCGATTTTTCCAGATTTTGCTCATCCCTCAGGTGTACATTCTATGCTCTCAGAATGTTCGAGCAAGCTCCAGACGAGAAATTACTCTAACTAACTTGCTAACAGACTTGGAAATTATAGAGTTGTTGCGCTGACGTCGCCACCATCTTGGAAAACAACACATTGTACCAGCTTTCCTCAGAAACACTTGTTTCGGTAGTTTTGTAGGCAATAATTTTCAATATCATTCCCTATCTCTTATACCAGTCGATATTTGTGCGAGGAAAGCGCAGCAACTGCTAGTCTACATATGCAATAGAGCTTGCACGAATTTATTCCATATCTTTTCGATACAGGTGCAGAAAAGCCAGCCCTTACTTGTTACTTGTTGATTGTTACTTGAAGGCCATATTCGTCTTCCACAACTATGGGAGAGTAGGTCCTGCAGCCTCCTGATATCTCGCCGGTCGTTTGCTACATATTGCCATGATTTTCCTGGTGTTTCTTCGATTTGTTTTCTCCAACAATCCGGTGAACTGCCTTTTGGTCTGGAATCCTGAACATATACTAAAATCGGAACACTACAGAGAAGACTAGAATGGCCTCTGCGCAAGGATGACACGCAAATTCGTGAAGCGTTCCGAAAAAAAAACAGCCCTTGTGGGTTAAAAATTACAAATTTTTGCTGTGCGAATACATACTTTGTAAGGAAAACGATTCTTTTCCTGAGCTTCATTGTGCAGATGTAATCAGAAAAGTGTTGACCAAAAAGCTGGATAGGTCTGTAGTTATCAAACAGGTCCTGAAATTTTGCTTGCATAAACTCCAAACAAACGGACCTGCTAGAAATTCCTTGCTAGGATTTATTTTGTAATACATCCGCTTTTATAGCTGTAATACGTTCGCAAACGAACTGATCAAACGCGACGACTTCAAATTGATCTCGGCACCAACGAGGGATTTCATCTTGGATCGAGTATGCAGTGGATGGGGACTCGAACCGAAGCATGTTAATCGACTGGCGACCAGGTTCTTGTAACACCACTACCAGCAGAAATTATGGATGAACTGTGCATTATGTTGTAGAGAGCCAACATCATTCCGTGAACGGCAAGTCGGTCTGGTTCGTGGAGGTCCACGGGCATTCGAAGAAGAACGTAAAGCGGGCACGTTGGCCGAAATGGTCTCGGAGTACTATTTTGGTCCTGTTGGAGAAATATGTGTTGTTGAAAATTGAACTTTAACGTGTTCCGATGCACTATTCCCTTCCATATATGGGGTGCTATTTTTGAATTCGGCTACTTTCAATTCTCTTTCTTTTCTGGTGAGCTTCCAGTCGAATTCAAACCCATTTCCTGCTGCAAATAACTTCATCTTTAGTACTCATATGTGTTGTCTTGCAACGATGGTTCTTTTTCTTTGTTTTTTTTTCTGATAAGTGAATGTATTTTCGTTCCCCTTAGAATAAATGTTTTATGCGACTTGCCGATCGAGAATTTGTATCAAGTGGTCAATATGTAGAAATTCTGTTTTGCTATACGGGCTTCAGCAGGAAAATTGTATCCCTTCTCGAAAAAGGTTTGTAGGCAACGTTGTGATATATCTTGATTGTGCCTCCAGGTTGTAAATGAGGGTGAACAGCACAGGGTGACTAATGAACATTGCGTGAGTGGGAAACGCATGTCAATGAAAAGTAGGTATTTTATTTAGAAAATAATACGGTACAAAGGTACTTACTTTTATTTATTTATTTATTTATTTATTTATTATGCGCAGTGCCAACGCACAATGCTTTCCTTCGACATGAAGGTAATAAACGAGAGAGGGTTTTGAAAATTTCACAAAAAAAAATTCAGGCAGATATTCGTAATGCAGAGTGAGCGAGGCCTTTCCTCCTTTTATTTGGACTTACAAAAATACAAACACAAACCTTCTTTTTCATATACATATACAGATAATTAGAATTTACAAAGAAAATTACAGCAAGTCTCATTTGCATAGAAAAAGTTATTTTGAGAAAAAGATAAAGGACTACGAAAAGCAATTTCTTCGTTCGAAGTTGTACACTTCTAGTAAAGAGTACAGACAAGGCTTGTGTACAGAAACGCCAGTAGCTGGATTTTGATCCTTTTGACCCGAAATCTGGAGGTTCGACGAGAGTTGTATTTCCTATATGATGTTCACCGACTGCACTCTCTTGAAACCGCAAGAGAATGTCCGCATCACATCTTTTCGTACAACGTTGTTCACGAGAACGATGGTAACGCTGGAATGAAAATTAAAGGAAAACGTGAGATGAAGTTAGCACCGAGAGGAAATTGAGTTTTAGTACGACATTTTTAAGCGCAATCGCCTTAAAGATGGCTGAATAACCCTCTGCCTTTGAAGCTCTTCAGGTAAGAATCATTTATTAATAACTTTTGATGAACCTCACTCCAAATGTAGGACCTCCAGCAACTCTATCTAGTCTCCCCGCTAAGTGTGCGTGGTGCATATATGTTCCCATCCTAACCTTTCCATGCTATGTTACTCTCCCGTACCACTCATGTCATTTTGGCAGCGGTCTCAGGCCACACCTCTACACATGCCCCATGTACATTCACATGAATTTCTCCGCTTCCTCCTACCTCGCTCTAACGAACCAATCTTCTCTGATATCCGTAGTCGAAATGGTATGTACATAACCATGTGCCACAATATCCTACTCTTCGCTGGAGCAGTCATGTTTTTTTTCAGCCATTCCACACAATTGTCAATGCTATCGTTAATCCCATGGTCCTTAAGCGGGGAGCGTTGCGCGTATGCACAGGCTGGTTTCTATCTTCACTTCACTCTGATATTGAGTTGTATGAACCTGCAACTTGGCAAGCTATCCACTCCGAACGCCTTGTTGGTTAGCTGCTTAAAAATGTCACTGTCTTTGTCGTGTCTGGGACTTAGGTGCTAAAACCGTCGCTTTCTCTTCATCCCATTTGTATCTGAACTGTAATTTCGGACTTCCTTGCTAGTTGAGTCAAAGTCATATCACTGATCGCAGTTTGGATTTAAACAACATTATTGGACTAAAACTTCATGGTTGCTCAGTCACAGCGCACATTGAAGCATATCATAACCATTTTGATGTTGAATAAAGACAGAAAAATTTCCAAAGTCTACTAGACATACTATTCATATTTTTTCCAGACAAAAATAGAATTGCCTCTTTTCGTGCTCTGTAATTTTCCGTATTATGCTAGCCAACTCTTATTGCAATAGTATGACAACGCAAGGGTCATT